ACAGTTTAAATATTGAGCATTACAAAAAAATGTGTATCAATTTGGTTAATGTTGCAAATAGCGAATGATGCAAATACATTCACTCTCACGTCGAATACTATGCGTTATTTATAGGGTGAAATTACAAAGACGAAATAAAAATCGCTATAGGTTAGCTTGAGAACAGTTTGCGTTAACAACAATCTATTTGAGTTTGGTGACCTTAAAAGGCACCTTACACAAATGCTCTATGAACGAACTTATTTCCTTGAGCAATAAAGGCCACTGGCAGACGTTGCCACGAATTAGGTGGAGAAATAGAACGAATTCTACCTTTACTCAGTTTTGATGTTAAAAATTTTTACTTCATTTTAAAAAAAGTAAGTATCCTAATAATAACTATGGTCGAAAGTTATTTCGCATTACAAGGCGGCTAAGAAATACATAGTAGCCCCAAAACAAGTAACTACCGTAACATTAAAGAACCCGCAGACTCGGAAAAATAACGCATCAATAAACTCACTTGAAAGACCTTTTGTAAGTCAGATACATTTCGGAAAATTGATTTGTCGAAAAAGACATGCACATGATTGCCAAGATCGATGATACCCCACGATTTGGCCACGCGGAAGACCCGACCAACATGTTGATCTAACCTTGAAGTACCATTTCGGTTTGCACATCGTCCCGGTACATCGTCAATCAAGTGGGACTGCATGTACAAGGCGTCCGCATTTATTCGGAGACAAAAGCTTGTTGGTATTCGATGGGGCATCTTTCCACTAGACTGCTTTTCATCATCATTAAGGGAGTGATCATCGATTTGAGGAGATAAAATGTCAAAAAAATCCTTGTATTTTTCAACGAAAAAATGAAGTTCAAATCGAGTAACACCAACGAATTTTTGGACATTGTGAGGGAAATCAATCAGTTGCTTGATAACAATTGCCACGTGAAGGCCTTTGTCAAGAGCTTGTCGCAAAATTCGTCGAAGAACGAGAATTACGGAAAAGTCTGAAGCAGGCAGTACTACTGGTTTCGCATTGGCAAAATCTGGAGAATTCGATATAAGGACCTGCACCTTAGGCGACTCAAATAAAGAATCATCTCCTTTTGCAATACTCCCATCATTAGGATCAAAATGAAAGACTTGCCGGTAATTACGCCTTGGCTTTGTAAGAGTCACCATTCCGTCTTTCATGTGGAAAACTTCTGGGTATTGACGAATGAACATGGTGAGTGCCTTTAGATTAGGCAAGGCGGCGCGAACAACAGGCGATACATATGATAAACAGCCCAACAATCTTTGTAGTGGTATATAGCGATGGGAACCACATGTCATTAAGTAATTTTGCAAGAAGGTCATTGTGTTGCGGCGAAGTATAGGGTCAATAAAGGCGGGTACAACAGGAGCCACTGGCAAGACCTCAGGAGAAGGCCGAATAACACATGCACATGAGGGATCAACATACGTTACACTATGTTGAAAGACATTGGAGCCGTTTTCCAATTCAAATTGGCTTGTCGGGTAAACGTAATTTCCAACAATGTAAAAAAGAGAAGGGAAACCTTGGAGGAAGTCAATAAATTCGGCCAAAGATGTGTTATTTACCGGCACAGACAAGCTATATGGGTTGACATACCCATGTATATTATTAATAGAAGCTTGGAAAGATAGGTAAAGAGCAGACAACGGTATGGGTCCTTGGTGATTTAATAGAACTTCAAGAAGAAAAAGAGCAGTTGGATGGCTCTGATCAACCATTATAGATATAATTTACCTAAGCATACTAATTCAACATCTCGATTGTAAATTAACACAAGTTATGAAGCGTCCCGATCTAGGTTGTGTCAAGTAGGCAAAATCCACCAAATTTGATTTAGTACCCTTCAATGGCCTTAAGCAATTGTACAACAAAACACATTTGTGTTGGATAGAACAGTATGCAGAAACGTCTAGTTAGGAGTTGATTTACTTAGATCTTAAAGGTATATTTTCAGATTTTGCAGTTGCTTAAAAGATATAACGTGAATGACTGAAATGAAGCATTAATACTAGGAATCGTTTGAGCCATGCTCATAGTAGGCTTCTATTTTACTCAGCTGGAGCCACGAAATCAAACTCAGTCCAAAATTTCCTAAAGTTGTTTTGGAAAATCACCAAAATATTAAAAGTGCAATCAATCAAGCAGCAGTCATTAGCAGCAGAAACAGTTAAATATTTTCTTTTTTCAAATATCTGATGCACAGAAATTTACGAGCATAAATGTGTTTACCGCAGGGATATAACATATTTACTGTTTTAGTTTCCCAAGTCTGACTTGAAAAAGTGGACAGTTATTTGCCGTATATATACAAATTAATGACTTTCCCTAGAACTTTCTGTATTTAGCATTAATCCGCATAAGACATCTAAAGCTACTATAGCATAATTAATATAGCTAAAGCCAATCTAATCAGGTTGATTTCTAAAAATGTGTTTCAAGAAAAGCTGCGCATAAAAAATTTAGCTAAGGGAAATGGTAAATCATCAGCAAACGCATGTGAGCGATGCATTTTCTCGATTTTATCTGGTGTCAGTGACCCAAAAAATGCACTCTTCTGGTCTGGCGAAAAAATATATTCGTATTCGTGTTCGATTGCCTTGATTTTAGCCACTTGTTGTCATGGCCGGTAAGTAGCATGGGTTAATTGAGTATAATTAAACGCTAGGTTTGGTAACCCTGACAGACGAATTCGTTTTAAGTTGTCAAAATTCTATTTTCTTGGAGGAATATATGACCCAGTAGCTGTACAATTCTGGTCGGTAAACAGCATATCCACCAATTTTTCCCCACAATTACTATATCCGAATATTTTTTTCAAAAATTAAGCTTTTTGCGTGTAGAAGATTATTTCTCATTTCTTTATGTTGTTATGGGCCCCGGAATATGGCCTCAAACAGCGCCGGGGCCTCTGATTTGATTTTGGCCGAATTATGTTACCCTACTACAGGCAATGAAGCGGACGTGGACACAACCGTTTACTTCATAGCTCAACCAAATTAATGTCGTGAGTGGCGTTTGCGCGTGAGCATTTTTACGTCAGAATTGTGAAGCAGCGTAAGTCATTAACGTGCTAATATCGATACTTAGGTGAAATTTATCACGCGTGATAATGATCCTGGATAATCGTTAGTTCTAATATGGCGTGAGTTGAGTTTCCGATTGGTCGGCAGCATGATGTGAGAAGGGGACACTGTGTCGGCAAATGAAGCAACCGAATTAACAAGTGTGACTTAACGCGATTCACAACAATGTTTTGAAGTGGAATCGATCACCTTGATGCATCAAATTCCTTTTGAAAACTGCGAAAAGTTAAAAGCGGATGTATTTACATGTATGATCAGTTCACACGAGGCCCATACTTGACACGCCCTTTCCCGAATCGCACTAGGTGCCTGGTCTCCTTCTGAATTTCTTCGGCATACGCGGCGCTTTTAAGGCAATGATAAGTTCGATGACTCTGTTCTATGGCCCAATAGGCTAAATATCTCTCGAAAAACATGGATACAGGAACCTTGCTCTAAATCTCTGACACCACTGGCGAAATTCGCAGAAATGGCAGATAAAACACATGCGTGTATCTTACAAGGAGTGAAAATCAATCTATTTCCTCTGGTGTAGCAACAATCATGGTCAATCTGTTAGCAATGCGTTGAAAGAACAAACATCCATCTTCTAATTCAAAAGGGATGAGTTTATTTCCTACAGAACCTCAATGATATGAAGGCTCATTTCCCTCTTTCTGCCAACTTAGCCAACCCAAGAAGCAGTCTAGCCAATTTTGCATAGATTACTTAAGACACAATATGAAGAGTATAAATACAACAAAACAAACTTCATTGATCAACGAGCCATAATCGTCTGTCAGCTGCCGTTTAATCGAGTTCACTGTACTTGCTGAGCCGTCTATTACATCGTGCTTCTCATCCACCCCTGTCTTTGGTTGGTTGCGCACCAGTTAATAAATTCAGTGAGTGGGTTGAGTTCGGTGTGATCCAATATAACACTTCACTTCCTCCCCTAAGGAGATAAGTCGCCTATATCTTCTGACTTGGTTCCACACACTGTCACGCTGGACTCTTATGATACATTTCCAGTTCAAAATTTCATGATACCCCACACCCGGCGGAGGGATAACAAATCGAATGGCAAACAAGGGACTTTTGCTCTTAGTGAATTGCAGAAGGGCCGTGTAATTTGTCAAAAATCCCTCTTTAATGGCGGTCTACCTAACGTCTAATATCTCTGTCGTCTTCGCTGATTTATTAATGTCTTTTCAGACGCAGTGGTCCTTTGCCCGGGCAGTGTCTATAGATCCAGTGAGTCTTCAACTTTGTTGTCCGTGAAAGGGAAAGGGCCGTGGGTCAAATCGAGTTATCTGAAAGTATCTGCTGCCGCCGATGCAGACCACCCTAGTCCTAGTATAAAAACAAAGCGGGCTATATTGGCTAACTATAGCCCAGAGCTGTTAGTCAGGCGCCGTCCACCCAAGCCCAACATACCTGTTGTAGCGCCAATGATATAGGGCTTCTTATTTACCCATCTTCGCCGCACTAACAAGACATAAGCCTGCTGATGCCTAAGACGGAACACAAGCAGCCTTTTGTTCGGAGTGCTCCAACTTTGCTCGTGGAAAGAACCAATTTTAAAAAGAAATATTGCGAGATCTTACCCCTAAGTGGCACAGACACATAGATTAATGAAGTCATCAATCACCGTGAAACAGGAATCTAGATTTCGGCCAAAAGCCTTGCAGATACAATACAAGTGGATGAAGATTCCCAAATGTTGCTAACCCAAACTACCACCTACGCAGATAACAGGATTCCTCTAGAAAGTTTACGTAGCTAGTGACTGAAAAAAACTTGACCAAGTCTCTAGAACTTTAAAGAGGCGAATGAGTAAAACCTGCATTTCTTTGATCAGAACTTTACTTCGTGATTATATGTACAATAAAATAAACGTTCTGCAATTTCACTAATCCACCTTTTTGTAGTATTTGATTTTCTTCTTTGTACCAGCTGCTACCGCACCAAACGCCTTTCTTTTCATCCGTCTGACGTCAAGCCTTTTCGAAGGCTCCACGCCCAACTCAACTTTGGGAATTATCTCTAAGCCACAGGTTTTGGCTAAGGCGGCCAAATCCAACTCGTTGACATTGAAGCAACGGAGCTTGGAGGAGTTGTAGGCACGTACAATGCCCTTGAAAGCCTCCTGAGCCGAACTGGCAAGGAAGTAATTCGACGCGATGAGCTTCTCCAGCGCCGACTGCACATCGGCAACTTTGCTAGCCGCAACTTCGTACTCGACAAGTCTGACCTTGGACTCACGGAGAACGTCTAGAAAGCCGAGTTCGTGAGGCCGGAGTATGAGAAGGGCATTGCCGGATTTCCCTGCTCGAGCTGTCCGACCAACTCGATGGATATAGTCCTTTGGATCATCTGGGGGGTCGTATTGCACTATCCAGTCCACCTAAACAAATCAAGGCACAAGCGAATGACGCCCCCTGTAGTATGACTCATGTAACGGTATGCTCTTGGAGAGAATTCAATTCTAGTAGTTACACTAACCCTCTTTTCACTAAAACAAACATTGAAGCCAAAAAATTACCTAACTCTTGTGGAATTCACTTAGCGAACAAATTCTCTGATTAATGTGACGATCAAACCACCACGCACACGTCTTGGACAGAAAGTAGAACGAAACATCCACTTTGACTGCACCGGTGATATTGTTAGCTGTGAGACATCCATTTCAAGAGAAAATTATTACTATTAGGGAACCCAACTCAAACCAGTAACCAAATCTACCTGATTAATGGTGGATTAAATATTTTCAGGTGGAATTGCGGTTGAGTCTACCACATTTGATACCGACAGTAGAAGGATCCGGCGAACATATCTTAAATCGTGAAAAGTAGCCTTCGATGGACAGCTATAATAAGACCGATCAGAGCACCAAAAAGCCTATGGCATACCCACAAAAACATTGGGACCTCAAACAATATAGCAAAGGTAAACTAAAACCGAATTCAACAAAAGCGTGTACAAAACAGTTGGTGCCCGAGGCAAATTTAAAGATTTGGATTACTTTATAAACATTAAACATGAAATACACTCGTAAGAACCCTTGTACCTCTGAAATTTCAAAGCTACAATTGTCAGCAGTCCTGTTTACACAAACCGACAGTTATAAAAATTAGAAAAGCGAGAAAACGATTTTCGTAAAAAAGGGGCGATTTGGAGAACATTAACGTCTAAAATTGGTCTCCCCTAAGACAAATTTATAAAGTAGATGCGAAGAGAAAACACAGACTGAAAGCTGGGAACCATTTAATATGAGCTTAGCTTTAGCGTAATCGACATCTGAAGTTTGGCAATGGGGTCCACACAGACCCAACTGGTTACACTAAATGGGGATGATTTAAACATACCTCAGGTATATCTAGACCACGAGCACCGACATCAGTGCAAAGAAGTACTGCGCTTTGAGCCTTGACGAAATTGAGAAACGTGCTAGTTCGTTTCGCCTGTTTTTGTCGACCGTGTATTGCTTGAACGGGCATATCTATGAAATTGAGCAGCTCGTAGTAGAATTTTACTTCCATACAAGCTGACATGAAGACCATAACCTAAACAGAAATAAAAACATTCAGATGAAAAACTAGCTACAACGGGCAAAAACAAAACAGGATATTACGAACCTTTTTAGTCTTGTTCCGTTTAAGAAAGGTGTACAACAATGAAAATTTAGTAGCCGGATTGCAGACAATGTAACCTTGCTCAAGCGTATCAACGGTTGCTTCAGTTTGGTCTTCCACCCCAACCATGACACAATTAGCCTTCAATGCTGACTTGGCCAGGTTATGGGTTTTTTTATTCAGGGTAGCCGATAAAAAGACAGACTGTCGATCTTTTGGCAGCAACCGTATAATCTGCTCCATTTCCAGTTCGAAACCAATATCAAGAAGACGATCGGCTTCGTCGATTACCAAAACTTTTAAGTTGTGGCGAAGGAAGTTTTCTGTGTTAACCAGATGATCAAGGAGTCTTCCAGGTGTCGCCACAAGTATAGTCACACCTTTCTGCAAATTTTGAGCTTCGGCTTGTCGGTTGCTACCACCCATAATTAAGCCAATTCTAATCTGGGTGTTTGCAGTCAATTCCTAAAAGTTCAGTTATACACAGTATATTACCTTAAGAACGCTGTAAGTTTGAAGACTTAGCTCACGCGTGGGAGAAATAATAATAGCTCCGGTACCGTTACGGCTTTGTAGACCAAGTTTGAGAATAAGATCAACAACTGGAACAAGGAAGGCGAGAGTTTTTCCACTGCCGGTCTTAGCAGAAGCCATGACATCGCGGCACTCAAGTAGATGTGGTATACATTTCCACTGGATCTCTGTCATTTCGATGAGACCCATGTCATTCAATGCCTTTTTTATAGGCTCGGCAACAGGCAAATCTGCGAACTTGTGACTTAAAATCGGGAGCGTGCCCGGGAAATTCTCAGTTGTCTCCAAACCAACATTATTTGTCTCTTCCGAAGTACAAACGTCTATAGTAGTCCCACCTTGCTGTTTACTAGCCTCTTTAGCCTTTCTAAGCTGCTTAGCTTTATCTCGAATTTTTGTCATAACGTGACCGGGAAAACGAAATCTGAGCCTTGTGCGTTAGTAAAAATAAACAAAACAAACACTACCAGATCGCCACACTAACGATACACGAAAAACGCATTTACTGTTAGCCCTTTTAAGGAAATTCAGTTGCTTTTGATTTCTTATACATGCACTTGAATGTAGAAATATATAGGGGAAATCATTGGACTCGAGATTACATGTTGGATGCGAGTCCTGAAATTATTAGTCAAGCTTAGTAAGACTTGCTGTTACCTTGCTCAGAAATACAGAATTTTCAAAGTGAGTTTTGGGATTTGTACTGGTCATGGTCTAAGCAACGTAATTAATTTTACTTCAAATTTCATAATTTATAGCAATCTGAGCTATAAAGATAATTGTTTTTGGCCACGTTTTCGTGACTTAAGCTGCCAGGGCCCTAAAATCTTGAAGACAATACAGTTGCCTGTTTTCCAATTATTTACTGCTGCGCTCTAATGGAGGACACCAAAAAATCATTTTGCGACAGTCAATATATGCTTTTAATCACATATTTTCTGATTACTACAGTCAACGTTGTCAAACTAGGGATAAAATACGGCCTTGCAGCACATGTATACTTTAATCTAAGTGTCGGTATGTGTTTCCTTTTAAACAGAGTCATTAACACTGTTTCATAACTCAATAGACAGCCTAAATCTTTGGGCAAGTGGTTGCAAGCATTGAACACAATATGTACATCGAATTTCCAGTGCTAAATCTCATAAACGCAGACGCATATTTAACATAGCTTTAGTGTAATTATCTTCAACAACAACTTTTCTGTGCATGTGTAGGCTTCAGGTGGCCTTTAATACTATTCTTAATAATTCTTTAGTATATATTTAAAATCGGATTCAATATATCGGCTGGCGAAAATGTATTTAATCCTTGATTCTACTTCTCGAAACTAGACAAAAGAATTTATACTACTTTTGGGACTAATAAATACTCAAGCTTTGCAGATATTTGAGAGAGTTTTATTCAAAACCATCAAATTTTTTTTTTTAATGGGCAGGTGAAAACCTAAATCCAGTTCCGTTTACTTATATCGAATGCACCGAACAGCATCGTCCAACTTACCACTATGCACCTAGTATTTTTTGTTTGCCTATTTGTAAATAAAAAAGGGGTGTCTTTTTTTCAAAATCAAGGCTGCTTCAAAATGCAAGCATTTTGAATCCTTTATCTTTCGTAATTTTTGCCAACCTTTCTAGCACTAAAATCAATGCGTGCTAAGTCGGTTTAGGTGCTCGGTGTGTGAAACAAAACGCAATTTATGCAAAATCGATATTAGCTGCCCTCAGCCATAATTTGCTCTTGACTTTGTACTCATTAATGGGCTGATACGATTTTAAATGAGGCAAAATTATATAGTCAAACTTTTGTTTTTTTTTCGTATGATTTCGAATTAACTAGCCTTGCCAGGCTTGCAAGTGTAAGGCCGATAGTGAATGCAGTCGGCGCCGAAAATTTTAACTTTTAAACTCAAAACTTTATTTCTTAAAAACAATATCTAATCGGAGGCCTTATATGGTTCATTAAAATGATCAAATTTATGCCGTGATTTAACAATCTACTTCACTATTGGTGCAAATCTCATGGCCTTTGGGATAGGAATGTTTCAATTGTTTTTATTTTTAGCCCTGAATTCAGTCACGCCAACTACTACATGTGTGCTGCTGATCCGGCTTTTATACCTTTTTTTTATTATATCCCTATTAATTAGAAGAACTGAAAATGGTGGATCAAAAGTGAAGATTGTGACCAGAACACCAAGGTTTCACATGTGCTCAAAATCGTAACTTTTGACCCTTAGGTGATGGTACTCATACCCTGGGGGTGCGTTGGCCCGATTTTCACACCCTCTTGTGACGCACTGATTCATTTTCTGGACTCTATCCAAATATGTCATGGAGGTCACTCAGTTCACACAAAGCAGCGTATGAATGAGTCTCTAATCATGCGTATATAAAGGTGATGGGTGGTTTTACTCTTCTTCTTCTTCTTCTGTTATCATGACGCTGCGAAGTACTCATTGACCAATCGGATACTCGACTGCACGAAGGGGTTTTTGTCGGAGGGAAATGCAAATGAAAAGTGCATTGCCGATTGTTGTTCAGTGGATTAGATTTGCAACTTCGTAACTAGACATGAAAACAAGCGAAATGCAAGTGAACATTTTTTTTCCAAAAGTCGTTTTCTCGATAGAGGGGTTATTGCTCGTGTAATTCAACCATTACCACATATCCTCAACCCAGTTTTTATGTAACTTTACCGATATGTGCTGTCTAAAAACATCACTGCTGTCCTTTAGTGCAATTTGTCGTAAAAACTTGTTAATTAGACAGACTCATTAATAAGTTATTGGACAAGATCGACGCTGTTACACTACCAAATGGACATTGATAGTATAGAAGACTTCCTACATACAGCATCACACATTACCAGTGGTGCCGGCGAATGGGGCAGCTTGATGAGATAAAAAACGTGCTTGGCAAGGACATTACTATCCATGTTAAAAATCCATTTTTGACCCCGTTTGGTCTACTCTAATGAACTCTGGGATAAATTTTTTCGACGTGGTGGTAGTCAGTGATGTGGTAATGAAACCTTGCAAGTTAAAGTTTTCATCCAAGTCATATCATTCTGTACATATTTGGAGTGCTCTTTGAAAGTTGTTTCGAATTCGTTATATTGAAACCATTTTGAGAACATGTGCAACGAATTGGTGCAGCACTTGCCCAGTCTATTCTCCGTGAAATCGTGGATTTTTGACCACAGGACATAAACTTTTGTTTATCCCCGACGAAACCCATTCAGTCCAGTAGCCTTAAGGTGAGCCAAAATACGCTTTTAGTATACTACGGAGGTCGTTTTAAAGTTAAAAATATGGTGCATCTGGGACGTTACCTATTAGGGAATTATCGAACGCAAATTTGAGTGCAGTCATTATGGGATGTGTGAAGTTAAGCATGGTAGAACGTAAGCTTTAAAGTGCCTAAGTTAATAAATGTCCATTTGAATTGGCTTTACTCATCTTCCTTATCTATACCTGCACCTTATCTGTTGACTTTATTAGAATTTTAATCACGCATTTTTTTCGCTTTTAAGACATGTTTAGCAGCATTTTATTGGAAACCTTAATTGTTTTAATGGAAATAAAAGTATCTGGAGGCTTCGCCACTTTGATGCATTTAATTAACCCATATGAAAACTAACTTCCTAAATATCTGTATTAGCAATATGATTGAATGCCAACATGTAATGAATAAACGGTCGATAATTATCGATCTCCAGTCAGTTGATTCCTTACTTGTTCATGCAATGGAGCCACCCACAGTGCTATTTAAGGCCATTATGCATTACTCTGGTTAGCCCATGACCAATTCACTAACCGCTCAAATCAGGCTTCTTTTGCTGCCCAAGGTGAGTATTTTGCATGCTTGACGTCTCCGTGACTTAATTCCACCTCCATTTAAACCTACAATGGAACATTTTGCTTGTCAAAAACGTGATTTCGCTTAGCCACCTTACGTAACGTAGCATGCTAACAGTGCAAATTTGTGTTTTGGCAGAGCCGGTCCACAAATGGTCCCACCCAATCAAGCGCCCACACATTTGGCACGCACACTCCATGGGCAGCATCATATTCTAACAAAGCGCACGTTATTAAGGCGATGAGCCTCACAATTACTTCTAACGCACCCAGCTGCTAACATATGTGTGCTATTGCAACACGGTGAAACACGAAAGTGTCACCAATTAATTGGTTACACAAATGCCAAATAACTCTAAAAGCCAGCGCAAAAGTTGAAATTTATTGAAATAAAGCGAAAAAAGTAAGTAAATTTGGGCATTTCTTTTGTCGAGGATTATAATTAACAAACCAAGACACCTATTGACACCTCAAGTCCTAATTCACACCTCGAGTTATCGGTTAACAAGGAGGCAAAGGACTAACAATGGAGGATGTTTCACTCTGGTGTGTAGGTGCATGTTCTAACGATTCCAAGGACTATAGTTAGAATCACGCAAATGTGTAAACCTGATTAATTGCATTCACGTTAAATTATTGGTTCGAATTTTGTCTCATTAACATGGCTTGATGCACAGCCAGTCACACGAGGTGGGAGACACTGCAGTCGTTGAGCTAGGAGGAGTTGTAACACAACAAAAAAGTGTTTGAACGTCCTAACGGAATTCATCAGCACATAGATAGGATATTTACCGGCACAAGTAAACTATGCCACAAATCTTAAAACCTTGACAACTGGAGTTATGATAAATGATAGTGTAAGAAAAATCATGCAGAGAAGGTTACTAAGCCCTCAGGTAGTAAACTTAATATTGATGAATCAGCGGGAAAAAAATTAAAACGAAATCGTTGCTACTGTGATTGAAGGCAGTCCTTATCAAAGTAACCATGAAAGGAACTGGTCGTAGGGAAGCGCTAGCTGATTCATCATTTTTAAATAACTCGACAGCATCATTTATAACCTGTACTGCTACAGCCAAAAGTGTAATTATATTTTCTGACGTTGTCAAACTTAAATTTCGACATAATTTATTATTCCGTCATGTATTGACTTCTACAATCTTCACGCACTAACAAGCTTAACATAAAATCTCGTTAAGATTCTGCCAATTCAATTCTTAGGGCCAACTCAGGTCAACAGATGGTGTAAACTCCAATTTAGGTCTATTTTGTTTCGGGACTCTATGGGTCTGGACATGATTCTTTAAAAATACTTGACTTATTGATTACGTCCCTTTGTTTCACGATTGCAATACCCAAAAGCATGAAATTCAGGTGACTTGTGGCGATTAACACACTCGCAAACTCAGACACTCCTACCCTTTTTACACTCGAACCCGTCTGTTCATGCACCCCTTTGTAAATAACCAACCCTACCAATCACTCTATTTCATTCACCTGTACTTGTACTAGTTCACCTGCGTTGTATCCGTCGCCAGCTTTCACTTGTCACACGTGGCTTCCTACACTGTGGGGCGATGCACACCCGGGTTGAACCACTTGGTAAACGGCTGTGCCCCCACCATTAACAAATGGTGGCCCCTATATCGACCTCATTCGCAGGCCCCAACATCATAAAACCATTTAGGACAGCATTTACTTTCATTACTCATTGTCAAGATTTCTCTAACCACAGCGGTTGGAAAATCCTATTTCTTTGCTCAGCAATGCTAGTTAATTAGGTAACTGAATTGGTTTCGGGAGGTTCAAAATCATGTTTTATTCCATGACATCCGTATGCAAGTCGAGGAGCCAATTTATACGAAACACATTGATGACAATAAAATTTTAGCTGAAATCCATGAAATGCCTATTTAGTGAATGCGACCCAACTCTAATTTAAAGTGAAAATTCGGGAACTACACTCCAAAATTGTTTCGACTTCTCAAATTAATGACAAATGAAAGCTACCACTATCATTCTTCTACTTTGGTTTAAAGCACCACTTGAAGATTTTTCGTGTAAATTTGATTGTCTTCAATAAAACAGCCCCAATATGTTAACTTGCTTAATTTAATTTCATTGTACAAAATTCTACGTTTTTCGATGAGAACTTGACAAATTTATATTGGAACCAGGTCGACGACGTAAGATTGCCAAAAAGCGTAGTCTGAGTCTGGATGATTGGGCTTGACCCGACACCACGATGGGCGTCTGGCCCAGACGTCTGTCATGGTTCACCTTACCAAAGCCACGTTTTACTAGCATTCTACCAGACCACAGAAGAGATAGTTCAAGTGGAATGAATAATCCACATTCTATTTCGGTTCAAAGCGCTATTATAACATGTGCCAAAGTTGGTTGTGTTCAATGTTGGTATGTTCAAGACTAAATTCAAGTCGGAATCAACAGTTCGCAGTTCGAGATAATAGCAATAAGGCTGGAAAGGAGTGGACAAGTTGTTACTCATTTATTTATAGACACTTGTGGCAGTTTGATGCTTAGGCACAAATTATGTTTACTGGTAATTTTCAGATAACGGTCAGTGAGCAAAGATTTATGATAAAGCCGCAGAAAGAATATCATTTAGTGAAAAGTTAACGGAAAGAAAGAGTTTTCACTACACTATACTAATTTCTGTTTGCAAAGCAGAGTGGTGGGCCAGCTTTTTGGTAGATGAGAATAAACAAATATTAACCTTGCCTCAT